AAACGGCAGGGCCATGCTCGTAGTTGCAGATTTCTTATAGCGCGGTATACGCTTTGTCCTGGCAACAGTTAATTGAACAGTCTGTCCTCAAAGGCTCAAAGCATGCACATATTAGACGCTTTCATTTGATTCACCTGCTTGACCTTTGTGCACCCTATGTTAAGGTGAGCACCAGACAAGAGGACTTGAACGGCAGCCGCGGCAATCGTCACCGAAATGACTGAGCAGGACAATAAGTTAGTGATAAAAGGGCCGAGAGTGAGTCGAAGGGCCGCTAACAGAATGCAGTCAGCAAAAGCACCAAAGTCGGACGAAGCAAATGCGTATTTCGATAAGTCTCTTCCTCTCAATACAAACGAATAAAGACAGTGTGGTTATATTGCGGCATATGTTTGAGAAGTTATAATTTTGAAAATGTCAAATATGTGAGCGTGCGGACGACGACATATAAAAGCTTCAAGTTGATACCTGCCTATTGACATGTGAGTTGTGGTTTCTCGCCTTGTTTTCGCAAAATTCAGTACGCCGTCCGGTAGTAGCAGTAATGGATTTGGGTCTGGATTTGGCACATCCATATACTCAATGTGTTTTATCTGCTCGATGTGGCGCACACAAATAACTGATCCGACCAAAGTTTCATATAGAACGTCACCATATTTTCAGTGGACACCTGTAATCGTCCAGTTTTCCAGATTATTCCGAAGTTTTTTACCTGAACCCTCTCGCTTGGATGCTAGAGGCGTTTCTTCGCCCTTTTTGGGTCTGTTGGATTGTCTTTCCATCGACGTGAGCGGTATGTTTCACAATCGAAATTTCTTTGTCCTCCCATAGATGGCATCGGACGAGCTACACCATGAAGTGCGCGAAACTCCTTTTGCGTCAAAGCCTACGACGGAAAGACCCCGTTAAGTGAATTCAGGGCTTTTTCGCCCGATAGTCCTGGATAGTCCGCCCTATTCGCTGGACTGCGGGCGATATGGCGGCGAACGCAAATGATTAATGTCAACGGCTCGCAGAACCGGACGCAGGCGTGTAACTTGAACTGCCCTTTATTATTGTTTACCAAGTTGACAGCCACTGAAGAGTGCTGATTGTGGTTTCGACTGTCGCGCGTTCTGAGGGACAGCCTTTCGGCTATTTGCTGTATGCGTTAACGGAGGTTAGAAAGACCTGTCTATTCCTTGGCCCAGTATAATCGACGTGAACACTGGATCATGGGGCTTGTAAGCTAGACTGTGCCTTATGTATGGTCTTGGTCGACGCAAGCGCGAGCCAGCTGTTTCATTTATTTGCTCATGCGAGGTCACTACACAAAACGTCGAGCGAGAGCCTTCACGCGGTCGAGTATCAGGTTTCCAGCGTGAAGCCGCCTTACGAATCTTGCTTGCAGTTTCCGTGGAACAACGGCTCGTTCGAAGAAGGCTATGAAACGTTAACGATGGATAAATAATGTTGTCGATGGTGGAACTGTTAAATTTCTGCAGAAAATCTTGCTGTCCACTGAGTGCAGCTCAATTTCAAAGATAAGTGAAGCTCTGCATTTATCTGGATATTCTTAAGTAATTAATGCCTGTTTTTTACTTGAGTCCGTTTTAAAAGTCGCCTTTCTATATAAGGTAAATTTTTTTTCCCAGTTTGTTTGACAGTCTGGCAAAATAGTCGTATTTTGTAAAAAAATCCATTGTAATGAATCCTTTCCCTACTACCGCTTTCTAGTTTTCGTAGTAAAAAAACAGTAATACTTGCTACTCAGTGCGTGTTTCCGTTTTGATCCTTCTTCTGTAAAGAAAAACTTTTTTTGTCTGTAATGCCCCGCAGAGCACGTGCTA